TGGTTGGGGCCATCTAGGATATGATCGCAAACTTCAGACTTCCCGCAGCGTTGATGCTTCACGTTGAGGCTTTACTTGATTCTTAGGTTATCTCCATAAGATCGTGTGAAATTTATACAGTAGTAGCTTATGATTAAAGTTTCAGACTGCAAGCTTAAAAATAGTTTGTCGATTGCCATTCGACGAGTGTTGTGAACCAATCCTAACACAAGTGTTGTAAGCTTATTTGCAGCTTAACGGGAGGCCAAACCGAAAGTTTTGAGAAACTAAAAAACTTCTACTGTTAAAGTATTTTTTATAAAATGTTTTTAAAGATCTTTCTATCAACAAGAAGTAGAGAAGAAGATTGATTTAGACGCATGAAACTTTGTATAGATACAAAGTTTCATGCGTTTGAATCAATCTTCGTAACACTTTTTTCAGCCCGCCTCAGACACATTGTTCGAACGGTGCTAACCCATCAGATGATGAAAACTGTATCCATTTCACCAATTTTTTTAATTTCTGTTAATAAAAGAAGGCACACCGTGTCAAATTAGGGCTGCTATTCTTAGTTTTGAGCGCTGAGAACGCGAGCGCGCAGTGCCCCGTGTTCGGTAGCTTGTTGTTTACAGTAGTGAATATTTCTGGCAAATATTTGATAGTATACCATTCAGCACTGTAGCTACTTCGATTTCGTGGGTAACCGAATTGACACCAGGTACCCCGTCAAAGTAAAAATAAAACTAGTGATCGAAGTCTTCCCTGCGCTTTGGATAGCTTCATTATGAAACAGTCGAAGGTCGACTTGCGCTTCGTTTCATTCGGATCATTTTGATAAATCTAAGATTGATCATCTTTAGAAATGTCGTAAACGAACGAAACAAGTGTTTACAATAGTCTACAAATTTGTCACTCCAGATTTATAAAAAAAAAAACTTGCGATCCATCCGCCCCGGCTTCGCACGAGTGATTTCTGGACCTCGACAACAGCGCCACCTACTGTATCAAATTGTGAATCTAAACCATTATGGAATTAACTTAATCACACACACACAAAAACAAACACACACACACACACACACACACATACATACATACATACACACACACAAAATCTCATCAATATCGGTTCAGTCATTCAGTCACATTCACACAGACCGAAGAATTTTATATATAAATATTATTATTATTAAGCTATTGCATAGCTTTTATCGCGGGCCTTGAGCGCGGGGACCGAATCCAGAAATTCTGTAACGAAAAGAAACCTCACGCTCCCCACTCCGACGGGCATGGAGGTGTGGCGTTGAAAGCCGTGCATCGTCTAACGTCGTTTCAGTTCGGCAGACTTCGGCACTCGGCAGACTTCAGTGTTTGTGTGCGTGCGACTAGACGTATGCGTGTACACTAGCTGCTAACTCAATGATAAAAATTCCTGAATAACCTACATGTATTGTAAGATATTAAAAATATTTTAAACAATATTAACTTCTCATTTATTCAATAAGAGAAAAAAAATTGTTTTCTTATCGGTCACCACGCTCAAAAAGTGTAACTTGATTTAATATCAAAGACTTAACTGCATAAATAAAATAAATAAATAATTATAATTGCATAAGTTGATAAAAAATGCTATGCAATAGCTTTACCGCGGCAGTCACCGAGTGCCACACGTATTTTTTTAATATTATATATTGTTCTAGATCTGACCGTTCATTTCATAATTTATATATTTCATAGATTCAACGAAATTACAGTCCTAAGTTTACCTAAACGTGAGTGACAGCATTCCTTGAGTTTACCTACTAGCCTGCCCACCGTGGAAAATATATGCAAATTCTTCAAGATAACCACACAAAAGAAAAAGGAAAAGTAAAGTCAAGTTTTGAAAAAGTTAATATCCAGGAATGGATTAGAAAAGCCCAATGTAGTAAACTGGGAGTCAGACAGTTAAAATTAACGATGTATATAATAAAATAGTAAAACATTTATTTAGTTGATTGAAAGAAAAAAAACCATATCACTTTAATAGACTTAAAGTGATACGGTTTTTCCCAGTTCGAAATTCATTTTACGATATATTAAATCCTATACCTTTAAAAAGAGCAATTCTTGTATATATATATATATATATAATCGGGATCTCGGAAACGGTTCCAACAATTTTCATAAAATTTTGTGTAAGGGAGTTTCGGGGGTAATAAATCGATTTAGCTAGGATTTATTTTTAGAAAATGTCTTTTTGTCCGTGTTTTTAGGCAATGAAAAACTGCTACAATATCGTTAGAATAAGAAGGTAAATTTTGACAGTTTGTTAATGATTACAAATAGCTTAATTGGTATATTGGGCGGTCACAAAATCGTAATACCATGGTTAGAGTCCAGACCGACCGACCGACTTTTTTAATATTTTTTCAAGTTCCTTTCTTTTTTGAGAAAATCTATTTTGTCGAGCCCTTTTTTAGTATTTTTTAAAAACGCGAAAATTTAAATTAAACTAATTGCACTCATAATTTTTTATTCAAATAATCAGTTCAGTTTTTTCTATTATGTCGCTAAGATCAAAAAATATTATTCGTATTTCATCAGTATGTAATGTGTATCTAAATATAATTTCCAAAACACACGAATTAAAAAAAAACCGAGCGAAAAATACCGAGTAAAGCTTGGTCAACCGGGTACTATACTTAAAATGATACGGTTTTTCCCAGTTCGAAATTCATTTTACGATATATTAAATGGTATGGCAATAAAGTTAAAAATTAATATTAATATTTCTATTATGGAAGTTGAACTTGTAGCAATCTATGAAGCTTTATCCTATATACAGTCGTGCAATTAAAAAAAAGTCGTTATTTTAACAGATTCAAGGAGTGCGCCTCAACACCTTGCTCGGTGTACTTCGGTTTTTCGAGGCTTACCAGTAGCATATGCGATTTTAAAGCTTCTAGTTAAGTTACAGGCTGACTCCAGAATAGTATATTTAGAGTGGATACCTTCGCACATTGGCTTAGAGGTTAATGAAAAAGCTGATATTTTAGCCAAACAAGCTATTTCGGAAGGCACTGATATTAATTACCCCTTCATTTCAAAATTATATACGGTTATTAAAAATATTGTTATGACTTCTGGAATAATATTTTGACATAAGAGCAAAAGAAAAGGGTATATGGTACCGTACGATCCAGCCGTACCCAATGCGCTCAACCTGGATAGATAAGTGAATATTGTGTAGATGCAATACTGTAATAGCATTAAGACTCAGATCTGAGCACATTCCATGCAATAAATTTTCACACTTGATACGAAAAACTACCTCACCAAACTGGTCAGCTTGCAACGTTATCGATGATGTTTATCACATTTTGATAGAATGTGCCCAGAACTCCAGAGAAAGAAAAAAATGTAATATACATTTGTCATTGACTGTCAGTATTAATAGTATTTTATCAGATCCGTTATCAGAAGATGCCAAAAAACTTTATGTGTTAGTAAATAAGAGATTATGTAATTAATAAGTTTAGTTGTTAGTATTTATCCTATTTAAGAATTTTGTTGTACCAGGACGTCATAATCGCTTCAGCGACAAAGTCCTTTTTCTAAGCATAAAAAAAGTCTACCCAATGTACCTTAGATATAAAGTATAAATTTCTAATAAATAAATACACTGCTGGGTGCAGGCCTTCTTTCATTTCTGAGAGAGTTATAGCATAATAAGTCCGCCGCGAGCTTCAGTACTCATTTGCGGACATTACAAAACTTTGAAATGTTTTTATTCAGAGAAATTGAAATGTTTTTAAGAAGTAAGTTTCTTCACGATGTTTACCTTCTCCGCCGAACGGTAAACCATCACCTAAAATTGTAATTAACATTTTCATCGGTGCTGGCGGGGTTCAAATCCGGGTTGCTTGCATCCTGAGAATATCACGACTAAGTGCCACCACGGGCTACCTTACAATTAATCTAAAAAAATTATATATAAAACATAATAATTAAAACTTTCAGTTCTTACAGAAATTGAAAAAAATTGTATTCGCAGTGGCGTAGGAGAATCCACTAACTATATATAATCCTGTGGGTGCTGTAAGAGGCCACAAGAGGTGGTTTTGCCGGCTCAGTGGTGCAGTGGCTTAGCAATTAGAGGCTGCGCTGGGGACCGAGGGTTCGAATCCCACATGGAACAAGTATTTATATGGCCTACAAACAATTGACTCTGGATGTTTGTCCTTGTGTAATTTATGTTTGTAAACTGCCTCTACGATACAGGAGAAATCCTAGTGTGGAGAGGGGGTAACGTTTTTAAAAAGAAAGCTGTTAAATTACAAGGATACTGAAACAGCAGATGAGTAACAGTGTCTTCCTAATAACAAACCAAAATAATAAAATACGTGTGGCACTCGGTGACTGCCGCGGTAAAGCTATTGCATAGCATTTTTTATCAACTTATGCAATTATAATTATTTATTTATTTTATTTATGCAGTTAAGTCTTTGATATTAAATCAAGTTACACTTTTTGAGCGTGGTGATCGATAAGAAAACATTTTTTTTTCTCTTAGAGAAGTTAATATTATTTAAAATATTTTTAATATCTTACAATACATGTAGGTTATTCAGGAATTTTTATCATTGAGTTAGCAGCTAGTTTACACGCATACGTCTAGTCGCACGCACACAAACACCGTGCCGAAGTCTGCCAGTGCCGAAGTCTGCCGAACTGAAACGACGTTAGACGATGCACGGCTTTCAACGCCACACCTCCGTGCCCGTCGGAGTGGGGAGCGTGAGGTTTTTTTTCGTTACGGAATTTCTGGATTCGGTCCCCGCGCTCAAGGCCCGCGATAGAAGCTATGCAATAGCTTAAAAATTAAGGTTGCAGGCGTGGCAACTGTGGTAAATATCTTCCATATGAGGCTATCCATGGGGCAGGCCTATGTTAAGTAGTGGAATTTGACAGGTTGTTATGATGATGATGATGATTCCTTCTAGTAATTAGTGATATGTTATTGCAAATATTCTCACCTTTTAGTACCCGCTACTTCCACGACTTTGCAGCGTGATCGACGCCACCAGCACGGCTGCAGGGTCCAGTAAGACGAAGAAGCACTGCGCGCCCAGCCTTCTTCGGGAAACATTAAAACCTATAGAAGAAAAGTAAAATTTAATCAAACGAGACACTGTAGAAAATAAAGTATATAAAATTAGGCTTTAAGTGTTGTGATTAGAAATATAGTGCTCTGTGTAGTTTGAAAGTAGTAGTTATAAGTTAGCGGATAAGCAGAAAAATATTTTTTTGGAATATCTTTTTAGTGTTCTATTTTTTTCTCACAATTGTAAAAAGTTATCATATTTGCAATTTTCAATTTTTTATTATAATTATAATATTTTTTGGATGGATTGCCTTTCCTACTTAATATTTGATAGGGCTTCTTACTATGTTGCTGTTTTTACGAGTAAGTGCTAAAACTTCTTTAGCACTTACTCGTTGTGCTAAAACTTGTCGGTCTTCATGTGGTAGACCCCCTCCCTCTCTCAAAATTATTGATGAAAACCAAAAGAACAATCTGACAAGCGTTTAAAAATTAAAACAACTGGTTCCATTTTATTAAAGCATTTTATGTGATAAGTAGTTAACTAAGTCAATTTTTGTTAATAACAAATAAGATAATAAAAGATAAATTAAGAGTGGTTTGACGTCAAAATGGATGGTTTAAGAAAACTTACAAACTTTATTTTGAAGCCTGAGGCTTCCATAGAACATTGAATACAATCTTGCTAAATTAGAAAACTTTACAAGCCTTTCGACGCTGGGATGAAAAATAGCTTTTTGGCTAAAACTAATATTGCAGGCCAGAAACAAAACAGAGCGGAGTTGTAACGAAGTTGTTTCAAGCGCTCGAGCTTACGAGTACAACCGCGGGCGGTGGGCGTCTGTAAATCGTTCGCCTCGGGTTTTCGTTTCGATTTTGAAGTACTTCCCGGAGCAACGTCAGCGATAACGTAAACCCGGAAGCATATTGGCTGCTGTGACTCGAACGCTCGATTGGTTTCCGGCGTTCTGTCCTCATTTTCTTCGTCGTGAATCAGGCAATATTTTTTTTCTCTGAAGGAGTTTTCGTGCTTTCGACAATATTGCGCTGCTTCAAAAGGCGCAGTCTATGGGGGTAAAATCGCTTTCACGTCGGGTGAGCACACTAATGATAGAGTTCCGGACACGGGTAAGTTTCGTAGGGACAATGCTCTCAGTCGCCTTGCGTTCCTACTCTACCCCTGACGAACCTTACCATTGTTTAATGGATTTAAAAGCGTTTCAATGTTGTAAATTTAAAATGCTTAATGGAGTACAAACTTTTTTTAAATATTTTTAGAGGTTGGATTTCAGTGCAAATTTAATTTCATTTGAGGAATCGTGAATACGAAAAATATTCAACATTATTTACACTATAATAATGCTTTCTTCATAAGGTTTTAAAAATCAATATTACCTACTACACAATTTACAGTTGCGATGGTGAATCCATTTTTGATAAATATTACACACATAATTATCACTATCGTCATGATTATTGTTATACCTACATGTATTTTAATCATTCATTCTTGTTGGCATATAGTACCGTTTTTTTACTCATGTGGTGTAGGTAGCAGAAATAAATGGCTGATTTGTAAATGATGAGTTAGTAGAGTTAGTGTACAAACTAATATTTTTTTTGTTTGTTGCATCCAATCTAAAATCCTTCGATTAAGAATTAAAGTGCAGATACGTTGTCACCCCGAGGACTAAGATGGAATGTCATATCATTGGTTAAAAATCGTTTACGCGGTAGAGCAACGCTGTAGCTATTATAATTGTAGCACGAATGGGTCGGCTCGACCGGGGTAGGACCACGCTCTCACAGAATGCCAGCGTAACGCTCAGACCCTCTTTACTGGAATCCAGGCATACCATGTTAGTCCTCAGGGGTGACAACGCATTTTTTCATAGGATAGGGTGACAAACGAGCACACAGTCCACCTGATGGTAAGTGGTTGCTGTGGCCCATAGACATCTACATCTATCCTCGATTACGAATCAAAATGCAGTTGTCACCGGTGAGGACTAAGATAGAATGCCTCCATTTCAGTAAAGAGGGTCTCTGGTTCTCTACACTCACCATACGAAACACAGCAGCATTAAGCTGCTATTTTACACTGGTATTCTGTGAGAGGGTGGTCCTTCCCCGGTCGAGCCGACCCATTCGTACTTCAACAATACTACTAATATAACTGCAGCATGGTTCTACCACGTATAACATTTGCATTTTGTTCCTTAGTTGAGGATAAATGTGGATGTCTATGGGCCACAGCATCCACTTACCATCAGGTTGACCGTGTGCTCGTTTGTCACCCAATGCTATAAAAAAACATTTACCATTTATTCAGAGTACAGACTCAAAAACCGATAATATCAGCTATGCAAGGCTTTAACGTCCCGTTGATATGTCCGTAATTGACGTGCTGCACGGATATCGAAATAATTTCCCAAAATGCCATTAAGGCGCTACCTCCAGCAAACGACCTTGAGCGTTTGGTCTGTCGAAGCTCGCTACAATATATCGCGTAACGGCGCCTCTACACGTTGGCCAACACAGTGGCGAATGTAGTGGCCACTAGCATTGGTCAACGTGTAGACGGGGTGTTTGGGCTTTATTGGTATGTATTGGAACGATGGCCCGCATGTTGGCGCGAGATCCGTGTGGTGTCGGTTTTTTACAAAAAATTAAAGGATTGTTGGCAGAGTTTGGTCGCCGCGTCCACACGTTGGCCGCGAATTTAGTTTGCCACAAGCTCACAGAGTGATTACACGCATCTGATTAAAATTTTATATTCACGCTTTGTAGGGTGGATGACCCAATTACCAGCCTTTTAGTGCCAACTTCCACTTTAAACATTCCTACTACTTTAACTAGCGCGATTTAATTATTTTTAAACATTTGTTTTAATCGATAAGCTATTTATAAAAAAATGAACATTTATTTACAATCGGATTATTACGAGAACAATTTTAAAATGAAAAAAAAATCAAGCACGTCGTTTATACGTGGTAGAACCATGCAGTTATATTAGAAGTATAGTTGTAGCACGAATGGGTCGGTTCGACCGGAATACCGGGGTAGGACCGGGGAAGGACCACGCTCTCACAGAATATCAATGTAAAATAGTAGCTTAATGATGTTGTGTTTCGTATAGTGAGTGTAGAGAACCAGAGACACTTTTTAAAGGTAATGAGGCATTTCATCTTAGTCCTCACGGGTGACAACGCATCTGCATATTGATACGTAATCGAGGATAGATGTAGTTGTCTATGGGCCACGGCAACCACTTACCATCAGGTGAACTGTGTGCTCGTTTGTCACCCTATCCTATATAAAAAAGCGTCGATTTCTTATAATTTAATCGTGCAAGTTTTCGAATCATCATCATCATTACAGCTCTTCACAAGTCCACTACTGAACATCCTCCTCCACAGACTGCCGCAAACCATGGTCCTGAGCCACTTTGCTCGTCATGAGTTTTTCATTTATGTTCTAAGTTGTAATTGTTACCTATTATTAAGTCAGTGTTAATTATATTTATTGCTATTGTTTTTGTCTTTCTCAAAAAATAATTAAATTACCAAATAAATTATAAGGTGTTTTTTATATACATCAAATGTCTGATAGAAATGCAAGTACATATTTTGCTAAAACATAGACTAATCGATTATAACTCCTTTAACTTTAAAATAAGTTAAGTTTTTATTAATGGTATTTATTCCAGTTTATGATGCATGTAAAGAATAAATAAAGCTAATCGTATATCGTACATCTATTTACAACCCCATTAATAGCCACTATTATTTTATAATTATTTTATAAAAACGTTAACCCCACACTAGGAGTTTCTCCCGTATCGCGCAGGCAGTTTACAAACATAAATTGCACAAGGACACACATTTTTGACCCGAAACAATTATTTGTAGGACATACAAATACTTGTTCCGTGCGGGATCAAATCCGTGGTGCCCGGCGCAGCCGCTCATTGCTGAGCCACTGCGCCACGGTGCTTATAAATTCGTCCGCACATTGGCCCGAACCGAAGTAAACTGAACGACCTTCCAACGTGTAGACGCCGTCACCAACTCTCGGCCAATATATTCGCCACTCCATTCGCCACTGTGTTGGCCAACGTGTAGAGGCGATATAATAAATCGCCAAAAGACGCCACCTACTGCTACGAACGTAGTATTATTTTTTCAATGTCAATGAACTCTTCTATGGAAATAGACACGGCGTACAATGATAAATGTATTTTAATTTTCTTTATTCGATATATTAGTTGCATTATATTAGTATTATGTATTCTAATATATTATCTAATTAATAAAAATGACTATTTTGATTATTTTTAACTATATACTATACTGCTAATATTGAATTAGCTTTTTATAGTGTAAATTATAATATTTGTCGAAATATTAATTATGGATTCGAACTTTACATGCTAATGGTGCTTCATTTTTGTTATTTTCATTTACTTACATATTGAAAATATACTTGAATAGTAGTTATTATTATTTTATTTAGCTACTGAATTTTAGGATATGTTTTACCTTGAGGTCAAATATAATTTTGAGGAGCAATAGTTATTACCTACTAATCTTTTATCTGCTATTCCTTATTTAGGAGCAATATTAGTAAATTGAGTTTGAGGGAGATTTACTGTTTATAATGCTACATTTATTATTTTAATATTTACCTACTGGGTAGGTAATTATTAAAATAATAAATATAGCATTAGTAACTAAATAGATTTTTTTTTTAAATTTTTAAAATTAAAATTTTCGTATTTTTAAAAATTACTAAAAAAAAGGGTTTGAAATAATAAATTTTCTCACAAAAGAAGGGAACTTGAAAAAAAAAGGAAAAAAAAAGCGGGACCAAAGCCAAGACGCGAACCACGGAACTCCGATATCACGCCCGACCGACATACCACCTGAGCTATAACGACCGTTAATGATTAGTCGAAATTTACCTTCTTATATTGTAGCAGTTTTTTTTATTGCCTGAAAACATGGACAAAAGGACATTCCTAAAAATAAATCCAAGCGTTCGTCGCTAAA